GAGAATCAAAGGTAAGCTAGGTCAGGGTGTATTAGAATTGGAGTCAGGGGGAGTGCAAGGTTGTATGATTAGTTTGAACACTTTGACAGGTAATTCTAATGAGCCCTCTGGAACATGATACTCATGCATTCCATTATGAGATTCACAGGCTGGCCTGTCTGCATGCAACCTCTCTGCTGCCAGCTTAACCTTTCTAAGGTGCCATTTACATCATGTTATGGAAATGTAGAGATATTCATTTGATGTTTCGCATGGAATTATGCCTCCTGGAGGTATTATAATGGACACAAGAATGTTGCAAATTTGATAGTTCGCTTGTAATGACTCATCTGGGTGACAGCAGTATTATTTCTACGCATTCATATTTTCTGAAATTTTGATTGATTTGAGCTAAAAACAAGGCATGTAGCATGTAGATTAAAGAGAGACACCCTGTGAAGTTTTCTCCTACTGGCAGAAAAAATAACTCGCCATTCAGTAAGACATTTATTCATGAATGATCCAGGATTTATTCTGTCCCATTAAGTCATCACTACAGTCATAAATTGTTTAATTTGTATGTCACAGCTTCCTTGAAGGGCTGCAGACAGACAAATTATGACATGTTCATTAGCGGAATAACTCTTTTATACTGCACAGTAATAATCTTCAACACTTGAAAAAAATGAAATTATTTATCTTTCTCTTTGAGAGACTTAGGAATGATTTTCGTGAAATGGTTAATATTTCTAAATATATTGGGTAAGAAAAATGCTTCCTTAAGTTGAATGTCTTCATATGATGAATCTGAGCAGAAAGGTACCATCAGAGAGAAAGGATTTATCCATTCACAAAGAAAGGGCAAATGAGTTAAGCAAGTTTCTACAATTTACTACAAAGGATTCATAAATTGTTAAGTTCATATAATTATTTTATGTTCAGTTTTATCTGGAAGTGTCACAAATTGCAAAAAGCAAGCTTAAGTAAGAATTATTGGAGTAACCATAGGAAAAATAGTTAACTGTTCTTTTCTTATTAAATCTTAATTTTTCAGAAGCCTTTTAAAACAATTCCTTAAAAATTAAATTCTAATAATTTAACTTAAGGAACTGTTTCATGGAGATTTATAAAATGATGGACACCCTACTTATTCACAGATGTGCAAATATAGAGCCTCTTGCGAATTCACTGAATATAGAAATAAAATACCTAGACTGAAATAATGATATTTGAATGCCTTTCATGGATTATAGAAATAGGTAAGAGTGTTTTAGACTGCAACTTTGAAACCGTGAATGAGAAAGAAAGCAAATCCTTGATTTTGTTGAACTTTATAAGACTTAAAAATGATATAGAGCCATTAATGACCAGACAACAAACCCTGGTCTTCACTTGAGACCTTCTGATATTTGTTAAAGCTAATGTAAACAAGAGTGTTTATTAATATGACTGTTTTGCTTTTGAAATCTCAAAGGTGTATATGTGATACTATCAAATATAAGAACTGCATTTCAGGAACATGGGACTAGTGCTGGTAGTATTTTTATGCACAATTAAGAAGGGACAAAAAGCAGTTTTGTTCACCAAAAGGAGTCTTACAAACCCTTTCATTCTCTGTTATTTACACTTAACAGGATTCAATTTGTGAGGGTCAAGAAAATTGAGCATGAGTACATGATCAGGCCAATTACAGATAAATTCTAGGGCATTTTTTGCAAGGGCTTTTAGTTAAGCTACTAGTATAGGTGTCATAGGATGGGATAAACATTTTTTAAAAACTAAATTGCCTTGTTTTTTGTGTATAGATAAATAAGTGAACACAAAACTCCATTCCCCTTACATCAGAAAGTAACATTAGCCCCTACTCCTACCATTCAACACAACTTTGCCTTCTCTTCACTGGCAATTTATATTATGTTAGTTTCTATGACTCCATGCTTAACCAGCATATTTTAAATTCTAGATTAATTTATTTTGTCAGCAAGAATTGTTTTCTTATTCATAGACTCGTTTATCTAAGCCCAATACTTTAAAAATGTATTTGGTAAAAATATATTCACATGCACACACACTAGACACATTATACAAATCATGTACCATATGTATGTTTATAT